TTCGGCCCCCGCAGCCCTAGGCCCGGCCTGTTTAACCCGTCCCGGGCCGCTCTTCTCGGGCCGTCCCTCCGCGGCCTCCCGGGGCGGTGTCACCGGGCCCGGCTCCTCCTCGGCAGCCCCGCCGGGCCCTCCTGGCCAAGCCCTGCGGTCGCGGAGGGTCTGGCTGGCTTCCATTTCGGGGCTGCCCTCAGGAGAGCCGGGCTGAGCCCTCGGAATCGAAAGTGGCGCAGGAGAAATGAAGGGGACGCGCGGAAACGAACGGTTTCGTTCTAAAGAAAAGGCGCTGACAGCATTGGCCTTGAATGAGCAGCCCTTCCCCGCTGCTGGCTGGGCAGGATCGCACTCTGTGTCTGCGCTGGGGACAGATTTCGGGAGGCCTTACCTCCGTTTTGGGTTATGTTCCCCCTCCTTGCTGCAGCTTGAGCAGAACCTCCAGCCTTTGCCGGGAATCTTTGCCCCTGTGTCTGCCTCCCTTAATAGAACCACAGAATTGCTACTGAAACTGCGGGGAAAACAGGAACTCTCTGACTACATCTTTTCCGTGTTAGAAAATCACGACATTACTTAATTCTGGCCAGGATGTGCAGTAGAGATTATGTCATCCACGCGTGTCCGGGTTGCGCAGTGAAAATCATTCCACCATACGTGATTCATTATTAGACTTTTCACCTCTTTATACATTAAGAAACTCCAAAGACATTAAGGTTCATTGGTCCTAAATTACACAATTCTTAGTATTCAATCTCCTGTTGGTTATTGATCCCTTTGCCTTTTGGTTATTCATCCCTTTTGATGCTGATTAGGTCCTCATTCTTTGGTGCTCTTACCAATCTTTTCCCAGACCACATGTTTCTGATGTTGCCTGGGGTAATGTTCATTAATGTTCATTTACCTCCTGTGTATTTTCTGGCAGCTGCCAATCTGTAGACATTAAACTCAACAGACCTCACCCAACCTCTATGAACAGAATCTTTGAAAGAGAAACTTCAATTCTGCTCCCCCTGGGCAAAGGCGAACAAATCTCTGACTAAAGTTACATTAAAAAACTTTTAAAGTTGTGTCATTTCCAACAGAAACATCAGGGATGGAAGAGACCTTCAAAATGACCAAGTCCGACCATTCACCCAGCACAATCACTTCAGCCCCTTAACCACAAAACCATTATCCAGTGTCACATCCAGATACTTCTCGAACACCGCCAGGGGTGGTGACTCCACCACCTCCCTGGGCGACCTATTCCAATGCCTGCCCATCCTAACAGTGAAAAACCTTTTCTAATACCTAGTCTGAATCTCCCCTGTCCCAAATTAAGGCTGCTTCCTGTAGGCATGGTAGAAGAGACTGGAGAAGAGGTAGTTGTGGAGATCAGTGAGGTCACTCCTGAACCTCCTCTTCTCTAGACAACCTCCTTCAGTGTTTGGGGGCAACGCTTTCCCCACAACCCCAGCATGGCCCAGATCAGCTCCCTGGTGACCCCAACCCCTCCCAAGCCAGGGCTGATCTTTGCTATGTCCAGCAGTGCTGCTTTACATAGTGTCCTGAGGCGCCTCATGATCCCGCTGCCTTGCTTTATCCTTTGTTTTTATTATTTGGTAGTGGTTTGGCAGCTGAAGGAGTCTAGTCAGTGGATGAGGAAGGGATAGGAGCAGAACACAGGAGCAAGAAACAGGACTGAGCATGGCTGGGATTGCACTTTGTGGAAGCTAGATATTTTTACCAGCTGGTGGTCACCTCCACACCAGATCTCCAGAGCTCTTGTTCATCCCAGAAGGTACCAGCACCTCTTATATGGAGGGAAAACAAAAATTTCCCCCTTGGTGCCTGTGGGAGAAAGCAGTGGTAGTTTTGGAGCTGCAGCCCTGGGGAATTTCAGGGCAATCACAAATTTAGCACTGGGTCAGAGCAGAGTCCCTGGGGAATCTGGGGGCAAGTCAATGTCCCTGGAAAATCTGGGTGGTTTGGAGGGTGCCCTGGGGGAATTCAGGTAGCTGAGAGCACAGGTCTGCATGGGAGCATCAGCCCCGGTGGCCTCGATGCTTCATCATGCATGCCATGTTCATTCCTAGATCTGCTCCTCCTCTGTGCCATGCTGCAAATGTGGCGTTTGAGAAGTATCTAGCAGTAGAAATAGTAACAGAAAAGGAAGTGGAAAAAGAAGCTGCCAGTGTTCCAACACTGCCAGCAGTGTCTGATGACCTTTTCTGCTTCTCTGCTTCATTTTGTTTTCTCTAGAACAGCTCTGAATTTACCCAGGTTTGTGCAGTGCTCAAAAGCAAAGTGGGGTTTTTTGCTCCTAAGTTTGGGCCTGTGAGAGGGAAAACCCCTCCTGTTTTTGTCTTGCTGAATTGCTGTCTGTGAGGGATGGCTTCTGCTCCAGCCTCAAGGACAGAGGAGCAGAGAGGAAAGTCGCAGGGCTTCTCAAACAGAGAAGGAAGATGGGATAGCATCTCTACATTGGTAAAAAATTGCCTGCAGCACTAAGATGTTTGGTTCTCATAATTGCCTCCAGCTTCCTGAATTCTCAGCTTCCTAAAAAATGAAAACATGATGTGCAATGCAGTTAAGTGACATCCAGGAGACGTCAGAGAAAAGTGCTGAGGGCTCCTCGCAGACAGACAGTAGATGATGACCATGCAGCAGGAACCATCAGCAGGAGCCAAGGGTGGGGAGAGCAGCAGTCTTCAAGCTCAAAGAGATGCGTTGATCCCAAAGGGATCTCTGTGAATCCCATGGGATGTCCACAAGTGGGTGAGGAGAGCATTCTCCATCAGGGAGCACCTCCATCTCCAAGATGTTCCAGGGAGGCATTGCCCTGGCTCAGGCTGTGGTGCAGGGTGGTGGGCACAATTCTCCCCCTTTGCAAAGATGGCCTTCTGATGCTGAGCACTGCAAAGAGTTAAGACTCACCATGTTGCACCATTCTGGGAGGTTTTTTGTATCTTTTATTAATGAAAATTTAGGCTTCTGTGCACCAGTGGCCAGGATATGCCTTCTGGAAAGTACCATATTGGAGCAGCTTGCTGACCTGCCCCTGCCATATGTTGGACACTGTGGTTAGCACTCACTAAGGCTTAGAATTTTCCTTCACATTCATCAGGAGAAAAAAAAAAAAAGTTTATTCTCTCTGACTAAAACAATGTGCCTTTCTTGATGAGCTAAGGGTTGAGGGCTCCTATTTGAGGGGCTGTGAGGGGTAGCACTGCAGCTACAGTGGGTAGCTACTGAAGCTACAAACTGGTTGATAGGACATTTCCTCAGAACTACATGAGGCCTTCAGGCCAGGAGTTAGAAAAAAGATGAACATTAAAAATGCATGGTACACTTAAACACATCAGCATCCCTGTTCTAGATCCTACAGCTGTCACAAAAATGGGGCTGTAAAGTCACATCTGGAATTCTCATTTTTCACCTCCCCTATTCATCATTCTCTTTACCTCCCAGACTTTCCACAGAATTTTTTTGGGCCCTAAAAATATGTCAATTTTGGACCAGTGCCAAACCCTTACCAGTCTCTCATTCTTTTAATAGCAATTTTTTCAGGCTGCATTCAAAGCAGGGGCAGTGAGGCACTTCAAAGCAAGTTCCACGTGAGGTCTGGATCTCTGTGGTGAGCCTGGGCAGAGTCCCAGCAGGGCAGTGGTGCCTTCCCACCTAAGGGAAGCACTCACCCTTCCAGGATGTCCTTGCAGGACCAGAGGTGCCACTGGGCAACTGAGTTTCAGGGAATACTGGACTTTGGTCTCTTACTGAAGAAAACAGAATTATAGCAGAAATATCAGCCTTGTTCTTTCCAGGTTCGTCTTCTTCCACAAACTGTCCAAGAGTGGGCCTGACTCACTCTCCAAGGTAAAAGGGAAATGGTGGAAAATCAGTGTGTTCTCCTCATTATGGCACCTACTGCTCTCCTTGTGATGCTTTCAAAAGCTGTCTTTAACTCAGATTTAAAAACAAAAATGTAAAAACTACAACAGAGTCTAACTGCTACAAATAACTAGAATTCTGCAGGGCAGAAGATAAGCAGGATAATTGCCTTACCACAGAGAGGGGCACTGCAATCCCATCTTGGGGCAACCAGGAAGGCCAGGGACACTGGGAACATCTCCTGGACTGTGATCACCTTTCCCTTGCCCACATCTATAAAATGGAACTGCAAACTCATCTTTGCTGCCCCTTCATCAGGTTCTCAACTGACATGGTGGAAAATGGGAGAGTGTGGGAGGGACCTCCCTAGTACATTCCAAATCCTGCTTTTGAGCCTGGGAACATCAGTGAAGCAATCCCAGAGAGCTCTTGTGGACTTGATATCTGGCTCCAGCGGTGGATCTGAAGCTCCAGGGCTGTCAGGCTGATTGCTCCCTGCTGTGAATCAGTGACATTTTCATTTTGGATTGTGTGCTGGCACTGTGCTCCCCACTTGCATGGGGGCAGTGTCTGAGGGCCTGTGTGGTTGTCCCTTCAGGTGCTTTCGTTGCAGGAGCTGCTGGCAGCTGAGTCCCTGTCCTTTCAGGGACTGAAAGCTGAGTCCCCCACCTTTCAGGGTGGAGGGGAGCCCATCAGAGGTGTGTCATGTCTGCAAGCAGAGGGGCCCATCAATCCTGCCTTACAACCCCTCTCAACTCACCCTACAGCACCAGCAGGCTAAACTTGGAGGTCCTTGGTGCTTGCCAATGAAAATAAACACTAATGGAATGTGGTGCTTAGTGATGGGAGGGGAGAAAGGTTCATCATGGTGTAGATTTTGAAACAGTGATGTTCATCCTGCATTGTGCAAGCAGCGATGTTTGAAGTGTTAGATGTGCTTTCCACTTTCAGAGCAGGTGTCTCCTTTCTGTGGGAAAAGAGACAGTCTGGGGAACATGATTGCAGTACACTGTGTAGAAAAGATGTGCCACATGCAAGGAAAATGAAGAGTACCTGCAGGAGGAGCTCAGTCTTCTGGGACAGAAATCAGTCCTCCAATCCCAGCCAAAGCTCTGCTGAGGCTCCTGGTTTTGCAAGGATAGAAGTAGTGTAAAAATAAGGATGAGAAAAGAACAAGGTTGGTGAGTAAGATCTTCTCTTCCTTCTGCCAGCAAGTTGCGTGTTCAGGATGCCTGAGGAAATCATGGGTTGTGTACAGGCACAAGAGCTAAGCTGGAGGGAGGGAGGGAGGCAGTAGCTGAAGTTTAGGAAAGCAGGTGGATGGGAATGATATTCAGAAATTCTTACTAGCTTATTAGGGAGGGCTTACAGTACCAGGACCTGGCAGGCTGAAGGATGACTTCCTCAGCTTGAATGATTTAAACTGAGAGTAAGCGAAATTGTGGGTATGATAGGTTAGGAAAAGCCCTGTGGTGGATTTGAGTTACTTGACTGGGTGGTTATATTCCACCACAGGGATTTCTTTGATGCTGGGTTGTGACCAGGGCCTTCTTTCTTATCTTTCTCTTGTGGTTATTTCTTCACCAGCTCCCTCTGTAATATTGCCATTCTTGGGAACTACTCCTGCCTTTGAACATATACCAGAAGAACAAAAGTACATGAGAATTAATGAGAAAGAACTTAGGAACAGCAAAAACCTTGACATTTGAAAAGTTACTTCTTCATTTGATTCTTCATTAATTGAATTTCAGA